TACTTCAGGAAAGTTACATTTCAATTATTCAACAGTGATTGATTCAAACTAAGTTACACTGTTACGGTTTTTCTGAATATTATTCCCTCAAATTAAAGGGAACTGGGAAGAATGGGTAGTTGGGGCAATAAAGTTCCACGGACCAAATTTTTCTCTCACCTTGACTTCCTTTTTTTTATTATAGAAAAAATATTAAAAAATTAAATATTTTTAATAAATGTAAGACCAGGTGACCTTAGTATATTTTCACTGGAGTAAAACCCCTAGAAATGAATATTTACAGGAGTTTTTAGCTGGTCATGAGGAAAAGAAAATTTTTCCTATTTAATGTTAAACATAAAAGATAAACAAACACATAAATATTTAAAACATCTGGCCAAAACAACTTGTTTTTTTAAGTCTTCCAATGGAAAACATGACAGTTTTTCATGTTTTATTTTACTTATCAAATTAATCATGCAGTGAAATTCAAAAATAATCAAAAATATTTTGATAATTGTTTATCCAAAAAAGTAAAAAAAAAAGAAATCAATTATTTTACATGCATTTACTTTTTAAGATCATAGGCAGTGCAAACAGTTGATTAAATGGTCTATTGTGAACATCTGTATTTTCTACCTTCCTGTCATGCCAATCATATCTGAAATGGTTTAAGGCTAATTCAGATATTGCATTTTTAATTCAATCATTAATATATTCCTAAGTAATTTTACATGTAAATATATTTGAAAAAGGAAAAAGAATATCAGTGTCCATAAAGATACTATAGTCCAAAGTAGGAAATGGAATACACAACATGTAATACTATTAAACTTTGCATAAAGCTATCCATCTATTTCAATGATTTAAAACCCTTACTTGGTACCTTGGTTTTATCCCAATCTAAGTAATTGAAATCTTTATAAAATGGAAGAGAAAGAAATATCCGAGTTACATGAGCAATGTCTGACTTTGGTAAAACTTTAATATTCACTAGAATTAAAGTGTTTCTCCGTGGTTTATTTCAATAAGTAATATGGTTTAAATAAGAAACTCACATCAGTAGTTTTAATATATTAATATTATTATATTTTTAACCCAAAAGGGATATGAGTGATACATAGATAATATAAAAGAAAAAAAGAGTAAAAAAAAATTGACCTTCTGGGATTTGAACCCACGACCAAAAGTTTCAATGTATTTAACAGTAGTACTAGCCTATTTGAATACTCTCAACACGGAAATAATGCATTAGGACAGTCATACCTTAAGATCCACGTACGTTATCTAAATTTTCTAAAATGTATATAAGTTGATCTTGTAAAATGTAAAATACTTTTCCTGTCTAGTTTTTTTTATTTTATTGCACTTGAAAATACCAGGTACCATATTTGTTATAAAATTTAGCATTATTTAGCCAAAAAAAATACCTACATCAATTAAATGATACAAATCAAACATTTTTTTACCAAAAAGGATATGAGAAATACATAAATAATATAAAAATATAAAAGAAAAAAAAGTAAAAAAAAAGTTCTGGGATTTGAACCAATGGCCCTAAATTTCAATGTATTTAACAGTAGCACTAGCCTATATGAATACTACGGCGCACAAAGGTGACATGTGTGTTATTATTTATTCTCGTGCGCCACGAGATACTATGTCGTGGCAACAAGTTACTAATTCCGTGGCCAAGAGATAGCTATGTCGTGGCCACAATATACGATGTCGGTGGCCACACGTTACTAAGTCGCGGCCCGAGATAGCTAAGTCGTGGCCACGAGATACTATGTCCCACGAGTTACCAAGTCGTGGCCACGAGATAGCTAAGTCGTGGCCACGAGATACTATGTCGTGGTCACAAGTTACTTAGTCGCGGCCACGAGATAGCTAAAGTCGTGACCTCGAGATACTAAGTCGTGGCCATGAGATAGCTAAGTCGTAGCCACGAGTAACTTAGTTGTGGCCACGAGATAATTAAGTCGTGGGCACGAGATCCTATGTCGTGGCCACGAGTAACTTAGTTGTGGCCATGAGATAATTAAGTCGTGGCACGAAGATACTATATTGTGGCCACGAGTTACTAAGTCGTGGGAGCAAGATATCTAAAGTCGAGTTCACGAGATAATAAACCAAGCAGAATTACACATATATATTATGATTTTTTTTAACTTAAAAACAACTTACTTTTACATACAACATTAATCTTTGAAAATACTGAAGATATTCACTTTGAACTTGTTTAGTATCATATTAGAAAGTCACCTTCCAAGATCCATCAGACATTAATTTTGACTATACCCTTTGTTTGGACAATCAATTTTTGTGATATAATTGGTCAGTTTGTACGTTCTACGGCATATTAAACCTTGTTTATACAATAACATGAGAAGGAATAAGTCCTGGTTTATTTTATTTGAAAGGGACATTACCCATGGACAGTATATAGCCTATAAGAAAGTAATCCTTGTCTGTTGAGTAATTTAGAAGGAATAAGCCATGGTTCATATAACCCAGAAAGATCATTGCACCAGAACAGTAGATGACATCTAATAATTTCGAGGTCATTGGGTCAAAATCAGGGACCAAAGTGACGCTAAATGTAAAATTATTGACCTGTCAATAAGTTGTATAAATGGCACTTTTACAGGCTGGTGAATTAGGGGCATCCTTGAACTATATGCACATGTTCTTGTTAATTAGGAGGAAATTCATATAAATGGTGTAATCTGATTGGGGTTATTTATCTCGTGGCCGTGACTTAGTTACTCGTGGCCACGACATAGTATCTCGTGGCCACGACTTAGCTATCTCGTGGCCCCGACTTAGTAACTCATGGCCACAACAAAGTATCTCGTGGCCACGACTCAGCTATCTCGTGGCCACGACTTAGTAACCCGTGGGGACATAGTATCTCGTGGCCACGACAAAGCTATCTCGTGGCCGCGACTTAGTAACTCTGGCCACGACATAGTATCTCGTGCGCACGAGATAAAAAAAACACACACACATGTCACCTTTGTGCCCACCGTAGAATACTTTTCAACACGGAAAATAATGCATAAGGATGGTCATACCTTAAGATCCACGTATGTTATCTAAATTTTCTAAAATGTATATAAGTTGATCTTGTAAAATGTAAAATACTTTTCCTGTCTAGTTTTTTATCTTATTGCACTTGAAAATACCAGGTACCATATTTGTTATAAAATTTAGCATTATTTAGCCAAAAAAAAATACCTACATAAATTAAATGATACAAATCAAACTTTCTTTACCAAAAAGGATATGAGAAATACATAAATAATATAATAATATAAAAGAAAAAAAAAAGTAAAAAAAAAGTTCTGGGATTTGAACTAATGGCCCTAAATTTCAATGTATTTAAGTTATTTAACAGTAGCACTAGCCTATATGAATACTACGGCGGCACAAAGGTGACATGTGTGTTATTATTTATCTCGTGCGCACGAGATACTATGTCGTGGCAACGAGTTACTAATTCGTGGCCAAGAGATAGCTAAGTCGTGGCCACAATATACGATGTCGTGGCCACACGTTACTAAGTCGCGGCCACGAGATAGCTAAGTCGTGGCCACGAGATACTATGTCCCACGAGTTACCAAGTCGTGGCCACGAGATAGCTAAGTCGTGGCCACGAGATACTATGTCGTGGTCACGAGTTACTTAGTTGCGGCCACGAGATAGCTAAGTCGTGACCTCGAGATACTAAGTTTTGGCCATGATATAGCTAAGTCGTGGCCACGAGTAACTTAGTTGTGGCCACGAGATAATTAAGTCGTGGCACGAGATCCTATGTCGTAGCCACGAGTAACTTAGTTTGTGGCCACGAGATTATTAAGTCGTGGGCACGAGATACTATCGTGTGGCCACGAGTTACTAAGTCGTGGGAGCGAGATATCTAAGACGAGTTTCACGAGATAATAAACCAAGCAGAATACACCATATATATTATGATTTTTTTTTAACTTAACAACTTACTTTTACATTCAACATTAATCTTTGAAAATACTGAAGATATTCACTTTGAAAACTTGTTTAGTATCATATTAGAAAGTCACCTTCCAAATCAATCAGACATTAATTTTGACTATACCCTTTGTTTGGACAATTTTGTTGATATAATTGGTCAGTTTGTACGTTCTACGGCATATTAACCTTGTTTTATACAATAAACCATGAAGAAAGGAATAAGTCCTGGTTTATTTTATTTGAAAGGGACATTGCCCATGGACCAGTATATAGCCTATAAGAAGTAATCCTTGTCTGTTGAGTAATTTTAGAAGGAATAAGCCATGGTTTATATAACCTAGAAAGATCATTGCACCAGAACAGTAGATGACATCTAATAATTTCGAGGTCATTGGGTCAAAAATCAGGGACAAAGTGACGCTAAATGTAAAATTATTGACCTATTCAATAAGTTGTATAAATGGCACTTTTACAGGCTGGTGAAGTAGGGGGCATCCTTGAACTATAGCACATGTCTTGTTAATTAGGGAAATTCATATAAATGGTGTAATCTGATTGGTTATTTATCTCGTGTGCCGTGACTTAGTTACTCGTGGCCACGACATAGTATTTCTCGTGGCCACGACTTGCTATCTCGTGGCCCCGACATCGTAATTCGTGGCCACGAACTTGGTAACTCGTGGCCACGACATAGTATCTCGTGGCCACGACTTAGTAACTCGTGGCCACAACAAAGTATCTCGTAGCCACGACTCAGCTATCTCGTGGCCACGACTAAGTAACTCGTGGTACATAGTATCTCGTGGCCACGACAAAAGCTATCTCGTGGCCGCGACTTAGTAACTCGTGGCCACGACATAGTATCTCGTGCGCACGAGATAAAAAAAACACACACATGTCACCTTTGTTTGCCACCGTAGAATACTCTTCAACACGGAAATAATGCATAAGGATGGTCATACCTTAAGATCCACGTACGTTATCTAAAAGCAGCATCAATCCGAATACAACTACCATGTTAAATGTAAACGCATTGTTGAAATTTATAAAATCATCTTAAATATATCACTTGTAATAAGGAATTGCTCTGCTTTAATGAGAAAGCAAATAATGAAGATTTTGGTATTTCTGATAATGTGTTTGTGCTTCAAATACATCGCTACAATCCGTGTATATAATGGCGGATATGAGGATCTGTATATTGTAATACAAGACAACAACGAGGACAGTGAATTTCTTCTAAAGCGTATACAGGTAAAAAATATTATATTAAATATATTACTATAATAAAGTTATATAAATAATTAAATGTATTTTTTATATTTCTTTCTGGTAAAAGATATGCATTTCGTAACTTAAATATATATCCGTAAGAATATCAGTATAATATAACTTTTTGATAGCAAAAGATGCATTAGGCAAAATTAGATATATGTATATGTTGATTATTTACACAAACCACAACAACAATAAAACTACATCTTTAGCCACTTACATTCCTCTCCCCAACACAAACACACGGAAAAGAAGGGAACAAAGTTTACAAACAAACAACAACAAAAAATACAAAAGCAAATGCGACACACACATCAACTGCGAGAAAAACTACATCAATAAGTCAATATTAATTTTTTTTAAATCCAATGTTTTTTTTCAAAAAGGCAAATAGGCACACTGAAACAATATACTAGAATTGAATAAAATGTACATGATCTTACAATATGATTACTTTTTTTGTGCCAACCGAGCTCATTTTAGCTCAACTGAGCACAACGTGCTCAATATAAACATGTGTCCGCCGTTAACATTTTACTAAAGCGATATCTCATCATAAACCCTCACAAGAATACTAATGGAATAAACAGGAATGAGCCTTCGGTAATATCCTTCAAAATACACTCAAATGGATCCGGTCTGTAGAAAAAGATAGCCGCAAGAGCAAAATATAGAAAACCATTTAAAAGTCATTTCCTCCCTAATCGTTTGGTAGATTTTAAACTATACAGAAATAATCTTTAATTGGATCTTTATAAAAATGCTTAAATGGCTCCGTCTGTTGGACAAGATTGATGCTAGGGCTTATTATAGAAAAAAGTGTAAATTGACAACTTGTCTTCAACCGCCCAATATATTTTGATAAAACTCTACAGACGTCATAACTGGGCATTCCTTTACTAAAATTATTCCGATCTGCTGCTCAAGATGGCCACCAGAGCTTAAAATAAAAAAACCTTTAGGCGTATAAAATGTTTGAGTTTTAAGAAAGAATACTTTCAAAATGCTTGCATGAAATAAACATAGTAGATAATTGCCTTAAAAGCGAATGGCCATGCACAAAATAATTGCAAAAACCCTACTTTTAATAGCAAATAATATTTTGTTCCGGAACATTATATTGTTTACATACAATAATACAATATTCATGTGTGTTAATGAATTTTTCGGAAATCAACCATATCATAATGGAACAATATAATTTTAGTTCTTTCTATCCGGCATCTTTCTTGTTGAGTGGTTCCAGTAGTCCTAACTTGAATAGTGTTGAATCACCCTTAGGATATGTGGCCTGCTTTTTAAATTTGTCTTTTGACGTCATATCTGTAATATGCAGGATACATAACCTTAGATCCCCTATCAAAATTCCTTTTTATTTAGTTCCGCCCATTGTTTTCTCGTTAAGAGCACATGCGTTTTTTTACTTGGGGACCATATGCCGCTTTTCATGGAATGGCACTAACGTGTCACATTGAAGGTTCCATGATCACCGCCATATGAACACATCTGCGGATGTTTCAAAATTCTAAACTTTACCAGTCCATGTCAAATGTTGAAATCTGCTTAAGCCGGTGCTAGGGGGTTGGACGGTAGTTTGCACTTGACAGTACCGTCCATGAACAGGCTCAATCAAACCGAGCCTGCAACATTTTCAATTTTGCATTGTTGGGCTTTCTTTAGGGATTCTTATTTCTCTCTTTTTTACTGTTGATAAATGTTACAAGACTGTTGCATAAGATATAGATTAATACCCTTAAAATGACATCTCTTATACTATTGGGTAATTTTTATTAAATATAAATAGGAATGGTCCTTGGATAGTCGTCTATAATATTTGCTCAAATGGTTTTGGTCTGCTGGACAATATGGCTGTCAGAGCTAAAAATAGACAAAGAAGTGATATAAATTATGACAATTTTTTTCTTATCCGCACGAGATATTTAGATAAAACTTTATAGAAATGATCATTGGGCAGTTATTTCCCTAAATTTCTTTAATTGTGCCGATGTGCTGAATAAAAGGACTTACAGAGCTAAAAATAGGAAAACAAACACTTTTTAACCACATCTTGTCCTCAACTATCAGACAGATTTTAATGGAACTATTATACATATGCATATGTAGCCCCAATCCTAAAGATAGGCGATGCTCCCCCCCCCCCCTGCCAATTATAACATATGTTTTGTGTAAGGATATGGATCACATAGTTTCCCTTTCCATTGTTACTTCACCAACCATTACATCCTTTACCACCCCAACATGATTGATGAACATATTATACATATGCATATGCAGCCCAAATCTTCAAGACAGGCGATAGGTCAGCCCCTGCCAGTTATAGGCCAATTTCCTTAACATGTGTGTTGTCTAATGTTAAGGAACACATAGTTTCCTCTTCCATTGATTAACACTTCACGCAACTTATTTTGGTAAATGACATGGTCACCTCAGTATTTGAGAATAAACAAGTATATCTGATTATTGTAGATTTCAGTAAGGCTTTCGACAGGTCAGTCACGAGAAAGTACTGCTGGAAATACATGACTATGGAATCAGGGGTTAAACTTTAAAATGGGTCAAAAGTTTTCTATGCAGTCTGTTGTGCTAAACGACAGCTGCTCTAACCCAATCCCAGTATCCTCAGGTGTCCCCGAAGGCTCACTTTAAGGAACCCTCCTATTTCTCGCCTATATGACTGACTTCCCACAAAACATACATTCCCAGGTCCGCTTGTTTGCAGACGACACTGCAATATACATTGCTCTGGCACCTACAAACCAATCAGTCACCCTCCAAAATGACCTTAGGCGGATAGAAAAGCTGTCATAAATTGCGTAAATATTTTACAAAGTTTTATGTCAGGTTTGGTGGCAGGTGCTAGGGGGCGTGGACGGTAACTTGCACTTTCCAATACCGTCCATGAACAGGCTCAATCAAACCGAGCCTGCAACATTTTCAATTGTGTTGTGTTGGACCTTCTTTAGGGATTCTGTTTTTCTCTATTTTTTTGGTAAAACCCTATTTAAACAGATCATAGGAATTCCTATGGGTACTAATTGTGCACCCCTGGTCGCCGATTTGTTTTTGTACTGCTATGAAAGAGACTTTATGTTGAGTCTCTCTGAAGATAAACAACAAGATGTTATAGTCGCATTTAATAATACTTCCAGATACCTTGATGAAATTTTTAATTTAGATAATCCTTATTTTGATCAAATGGTGTCTGACATTTATCCGCATGAACTACAACTTAATAAAACGAACTCTTCAAATTTAAGTACATCATTTTTGGATCTTCATATTACTTTCAACAACAATTCTATTCACACGAAAATCTATGATAAAAGAGATGACTTTGACTTTTGTATAGTTAATTATCCACATTTAGATGGAGACGTACCCCATGCAACATCTTACGGGGTTTATGTTTTTACTCTGTATAAATACTCTGTATTTATCTATTTTATGTTTCCCAGTTAATTAGATTCGCTAGAGCTTGTAGCAACGTAAAGGATTTCAACGAGCGGAATATTTTTATTACCAGCAAGCTTCTAAAACAGGGCTACCGCTATCATAAAATTGATAAATACAGAATCCCTAAAGAAAGCCCAACACGGCAAAATTGAAAATGTTGCAGGCTCGGTTTGATAAATTACGGAAATATTTTACTAAATTTTACAATCGTAACTTTGATTTAATTTTCATATTCAATAGTGATTTAAAAACTCTTCTGCGACAAGGGATTAGCCAGCCTGGTTTTTATGGCGATGTGATTTACAAACTTCGTAAGATTTTGGGTCATGGTAATTTTTCTGCTGTTTTTACTAAAATCATGAAACGTTTTATTAAAAGAGGTTATGACCCTACTATTTTAAGACATACTGCATGTTTAGTGTTCAGCCCTTTTACAGTTGGACACTACGCTTTCCTCTTTTGATTGCATCTGACGGACCAAGTGGGAGACTCTATGATGGATAGTTCGTAAAGCCCTTTATTTTAAGGCAGACCGCATGCTTGGTGTTTAACCCTTTTACTTTTAATTACATCGTACGGACTAAGTGGGAGACTCTATGATGGACAGTTCTTAAAGCCCTTTGGGACTGAATTGTCATAATGTTCGTCTTCTGTCTTGCTTCGTCGGGCCCTTGTAGGTGATTTTCTTGTTGCTTTGCCTTCCTTTAAGGCATCGAGTACTTTGGTAATGGTCATTAGGCTGTACCTTTTTATACATATTTACATAATTTTGTATGTGTTTTATTTATTTCGGTATTGCGGTTCCCCTCTGTGTTCCTTCACGTGTTTTTCATGTCTGTTTTGTTACTTGTTTTGGATGTTTACATGTTTTGTGATGTCTGTCTTTTTCGATTGTCGTTGACAGTAAGTATTTTCTCAATCCCCCCTCACCCATTTTTACCCCCCACCTTTTCAACCATACAGCCCTTTTCCCTTTAATACCCTTATGGTCCCGTTTTAGTTGATATTATTTCACATTACATGTCCAACTCCTTTCACCGTTGTGTCCGCTCTAGGTTTTTTTAGTGTGTCGGGGGCCGCGTCCGGTGAACGTTGCCTTTGCCTTGTTGATATTTATTCTTGTTTTTTTAATATGTCCTATTATTTGTCATAAATTATCTTTCATGAATTTCAGAAAATTTTTACAGACTCGTCTAAACTACTGTTTACAGCCACCAAAAGTCATCTGTATTTCGGAAAAATCAAAGTTATTGTACCAAAGACATGGCAGCATAAGGAAAAGTACAAAAAGGCTCTGATACCTTCACACATTGAACAGAAAATAATTATTGACAACGCTAAACAAGACGAAAACGGCACACCAAGGGTATATGGGATAACATCTTGTGGCACTGGAGGTTCATATATGTACCTTCATTCAGAAAAATTTATTTTGAAAACAGGGCAAACATCTTGGGGTTTGCATGGTATGTATCATTTACCTTTATTCGATAATTACTAAAACAATTGGAAACAGCAAATTAAAACATGAATTAACCTTTAAACTTTCTCACTGTTGTTGAACATGGTGAAAATTTAGTTTGCAGACACATCTTGCAAAATTTCATTTATTTTTATGCGCAGCTGTTGCCAATGTGGCAAGGCTTGAAGACACGCCTTTTATATCGGGACGTTCTGACGAGGTATATTAAGGTTCGCCCTTTACTTTCACTTGTTTGTCTTTGTGTCCTGTTGCCCGGTGGTCTTGCCTTGATTGATTTTGTTGGGGATGTGTTCTGTGAATGCTGCCAATCTTTGTTGATCATATTTGTTTTCATATTAAGTTTTAACAACGATTGTTTTGACCTATCCTTCAATAAACATGATATGCGCACAATTCCTATAACCTTGATGTATTTATTTCAAACTGTTACATAACAACATGTATATACAATTAATAAATATTACTCTTAACCATCAAAAACTTAATAATTAAAGTCTCTCTCTCTCTTTTCTAACTTTTCTATCTTACCCTAGCTTGATCCAGCTCAATCGTTTAATTGTACTATCCCCCTTCTAGAATCAATGCGGTGTTTGAAATGTTATACCTACATATACTACAAAACAATCCAAATATATAATTTTAACAAAATCTCGTTTTTTAACAATAGAAAGGTTTTTTAATGATGAATGGCAACGAAAGTCACAATAACAACTTCAAACCCGGTCAACCTATTCACAGCCCAACGCTCCGGACGTAATAATGTGAGAACGGGACATTGATAGGTACTATGCCATAAGGCTAACTACTTAACTATTTCGATTCGTTCATAGTCTGATACACAGGCTAAAAATCACAGAAATAAATATACGACATGTATTTACTGAATACCAGTGCGGATATGTTGATGGAAAATAAAGGATAATATGATAAACTACATAAATACCATACAGAAAGCATTTCTTCTGCTTAAACGAGGGTTGTTCAAATATGAATGTTACCGCCTATATGACTGAAATACTGTTGGGGAAAGGCGTAAAATGAAACAAACAAACTGGGTCGATTTTCAGAAGTGCGTAACAAACAGTGTCAAAATAATTATCTCAATCCTTCAAAATACTCACCACTATGTGATATTCAAAGTTTTAGTCTTTAAGTTCAATTTTTAAATGCGCTTTCATAATCATTTTGAGGTATACTGTTCAGGCAATGGAGGTATACTGTTCAGGCAATGGAAAATAGCCGACCCGAGCTTTTTTTCGCGTTTGATATTTTCTTACAGCAATGTTTTATGTTAGCCTCGGAAATAGGAATAAACTATAAGGGGCAATATCTGGAGAATAAGGAGGGTGAGGAAGCTCGACAAACTTTTCCTGTTTAAGATAGTCTCGTACATTGGCCGTTTTGTGTGACGAAGTATTGTCATGCAACAACCTGACACCACGGAGACCAAGCTTTTCAAATATTTCTTTAATTTATGAAGGACTTGCCTTTGTAAAGGCAATTACATACTTGACCTTTTTGACGCTCATGGTGCGTGACCTTTTCCCTCATGTGCAGTCTCAATCAAACCGAGTCTGCAATTTTCACATGTACTTTTGATGTGATTATTGCTTCCGAGGTATCACTTTTGTTTGCAGAATTTGATATGCAAGGACTTTGACCCTATTTTGGTTGCCCATATTTTGTTATGTATCTTTGGCTTGGGATCATTAAAGTGAACCCATGTCTCATCGCCAGTGATGATATTTGCGAAAGATTGATTGTAAAGGGAAGTGTTTCAACAATTGTTTGGAGCGGGTGCGGTGGCCTTGTGGTCAAGGTGTCTGCCTCTTAACCCAGAGATCATGGGTTCGAGCCCTACTCGGGTCACGACCATGTTTCTACATATGCCACTAGTACTGGTTGGTTCCAGGAAGCGGACTCGAAAGTGATTAATATAAGTTGCAAGAACTTATTTCGCAATCGAGCTTAAATAAATATGTTTAAACCAATTGTTTGGAGATTCTTACCCGAGCAAGTTTATGCTCTTTTGTAAAGAAATCGGGTATACATCTGGCACTTATCCCTCATATTTTTAAATCATGTCTGAGCATTGTATGAGCGGCTCCTACAGAGATACCAACGCATTTAACTATATACCTTGTTGTAAATCTTGCATCAGTAACTATCAAATCCATGACTTTTTTCATATTTTCAATATTTTTTGTTTTGGCAAAGTTGTTTTGTTATTCAACATGGCGTCAATGATAAGCTGATATTAGCGTGTCGGGTGGAAAAAGCGAAATAAAGTTCGATATATGTGAAACAATGTTGTTTTATTGAATAATACCAGGTATAATAAAAACAAAGCAATTTATGTGCAATATATGGTTTGGACTTCTTGTGAATTAAAGCTGTAATATTCAAATATTTATCTGGTTGATGAAAGGCGCCATTTTTCTTTGTTTGTGAAAAACATTCTAATATAACCCGCTGCCAATCAACGGCATATAAAGTATATCAAGTAGCTAGTTGTTATGGCTGCCAGAAAAAGTGAATTTAGAACTCCATATTTCAACAAAAAACGTAATATTATTGAAACAATTAGTCCATCTGATGGACCTCAAGGTGACCATTCCATTCCCCATACCCCACCCGCAGAAAAGAATATACATCACCTGATTGATTATCTGTTGTATAAACATAGTTTCCTTACAAGGCAGGGAACTTAACACATTACTGTGATGTAGACAAACTCAAAAGATTTAAGTTCATTCATGTCACTCATTCACTGGTAAAATTGAATGGCCAATGGCCCATCCGAATGTTGCTGGGGTTCTAACCGGTAGGGGACTTATGGATTGCTTGCAATACTATGATAATTGCTTGTTATGATAACCATACTTTATACTTGTTACTTTTTAAATGCGATTCATTTTTCTACAGGTTGCCATATTTTCCGATCCATGTATGTTAACTGTCGTTAATGTTTACATAATATTTCTGTCGCCACTCGTCAAATTTATTGTTGTATGTATGTGTTTCCCAAATAGGTAATAGTTTAAATGAATGGCGGGTGGCGATATGATTGTTTTACATCGCTTTGCAGGGCTGTATGAAAGTGTGTAAATTATAAATGTATTTACCAAGAAATCTTTTTTATATGCCCGAAAGAATTTCGGGCATATAATGTTATACTCCCTGGCGTCCGTCTGTCCGTCCGTCCGAGCAAACATTTTGGGTTTAGGGGCTATATAACAGTAAAGAGAACAAAAGAGAACAATAGGTTCATTCCGTGATCAAAGGGTTTAGGGGCTAGCCCTTAAGATAACAAAGAGAATAACAAAGAAAATAGCCCCTAAACCCAACAAGTTGGAACGTTCATCCGTCCGTACGTCCGTCCGTTAGCAATTTAGTTAAGCATAACTTAAGTTCCATTTGGCCCACAGTCTTCAAACTTCATAGGATGATTGCCTATATTGGGTAGAAGACCCCTGTTGATTTTGGGGTCACAAGGTCAAAGGTCAAGGTCACTTTTACCTTAAAACTGAAAATGGTTTCCGGAGCATAACTTAAGTTCCATTTGGCCCACAGTATTAAAACTTCATAGGATGATTGTCCATATTGGGTAGAAGAACCCTATTGATTTTGGGGTCACACGGTCAAAGGTCAAGGTCACTATTGCCCTAACACTGAAAATGATTTCCGGAGCATAGTTTAAGTTCTATTTGGTCCACAGTATTCAAACTTCATTAGATGATTGTCCATATTGGGTAGAAGACCCCTATTGATTTTGGGGTCACAAGTCAAAAGTCAAGGTCACTATTACCTGAAAACTGAAAACGGTTTCCGGAGCATAACTTAAGTTCCATTTGGCCCACAGTATTCAAACTTCATATGATGACTGTCAATGTTGGATAGAAGACCGCTATTGATTTTGGGGTCACAAGGTCAAAGGTCAAGGTCACTATAAACTTAGAACTGAAAACAGTTTCCGCTCAATAACTTAAGTATTAATCAACCTACAGCTGTAAAATCTTATAGGATGAACAGCCATGTACAATACATGACCCCTATTGATTTTATGGTCATAAGATCAAAGGTCAGGGTCACAATGATCTTTACACGGAAAGTTGTGGTTTCTGTAGCACAACTACAACTTGATGCTGATGCTTTGAAAACAGCTACTGTATATATATGAAGGTTCTTCAGCTATAAAGGAGGATTGCTTTTTGAAGGAGGTAATACTGTATTTAATTCCCATGTCTATGTACAGACTCAATCAAACCGAGTCTGCAATTCTTATGTTATTTTGTTGTGATTAATGCTTCCGAGGGATCACTTTGTTTCCAGAATTTTTTACAAATGTTTCATCCTTACAAAAACAAACAACACTTTCGGGCATATTATGCTCCGCCTAGCGGTGCTCTTGTTTACACAAACTTGAAGCAAATAGATTTATTATACTTTTTTATGATTGTACATATAACATGTTTGTACAGATCAGTATGTGATGAAAAATCATTTATTTTTGGAAACTTTCAATGTTGTGATTCTAATTTTGACTTAAACTGGCTAAGTTTTATAATTGGCACTATCATGTTGCAATTACTGATAATCAGCGCCCGGCCCTAACAGTGAATTGCAACTTAACTGTTTATCAATACACAGCCAAAATATTAGAATCGTGCGAAACAAAATTTCATACATTAAAGACAACTGGCTCGACTTCGACATACTTTGTTTCACAGAAACTCATCTAAATAGTTCAGTTTCCGATAATAGTTTAAAAATAGACAACTATATTTTTTTATAGAAAAGATGCCTCGTGTCATTCTGGGGGGGGGGGTTCGGATATATGTCTCCGATGAGGTAATTTCTAAGCATCAATATGAACTTGAATTTTATCTAAATGTTTGTCTCTGCGTCGAACACAAGACACAAGAATGAAAACATCTTACTTTGCACTGTGTATAGGCAGCCGACTGGTTCTACTTCTTTTTG